CTTGTTTAAATAGCTCAAGCAAAACTTCATTAAGCTCATCAATCCTCTTCAAAACAATGCCAGGAGTTTTCAAGAAGTGTTTTAGTATTGGGAACACATTGTAGTACTGTAGATAAATAAATACAGTAATTCATCTAAAATGCACTTGGTAGTTAGAATGTTTTCACCAGTGTTTATACCATGTATCAAAATAAGTCTGTGTCTACAGCAGTATCCTTTACACAGGAGCAGAACAAAATATTTAAAGGGTATATATAGTCTAAAAATGAAAATGTATTTCTATATCAAAAGTCCTAAAGTTATATCCCTCTCCTAATAACCATATTGATCTAAAAGTCTGTGAACCTACTTATTGAAGATGCTCATAGGATGTACTTCCTCAATACACTGACACCACTTCACTAAGCCCTAAGAATATGCACTTCCTTGTGTCACCTTCCTAAATATGCCATCTGAACTACAGCTCAACAACTTCCCACAATGTAGCATGAGTACTGCTTACTGCAAACAATGCAGGATGGAATATATAGTCCTGAAAAATCAAGCAGCAGGGAAAGAGACACAAATCCAGGAAGTTGTTGATAGTGATAGGCAAGCAGAAGGAACACTCAAGTGTACAGTCCAGGTGATTTCCCACCAATCTGCAGTTTATTCTTGGTTGTACTTAAGTAGGGTCTTGAAATTGGTGTAAGACTTCCATTGGCCTCTTCTCATTGTTTTAAGAAAAATCAGTCCCTTCCTTATTGTTTAACTGCTGGCCACTTCCGCTAACAATCAGCAAAATGCTGTTTTGGATGCTGCCCCGTGAAACTATTGAGAAGGTTCAATCCGTGCCTAGTTTAAGGTGTATCTAATTCCAAGAACTAAAATGTCATATATGTCAGCTTACCAGTGGTAGCCCCAAGAGTTTTTCATATTTCTTTGATACCGTAATTTGTTTCCGGCTTTTCACCCATTGATCTTGTCGCTAAAATATTTCCTGTCCTAGGCTATTCGCTCATGATTTCTACTACAGATTACAAATTTGTGGAATCTATAACTGGATCACAGGTATTGTTTTAACTTATCAAACGGTATATTTATCAGGCCAAAAGGTAGCAAAAAGGAGAATTGTTAGGGTTTACATACCCATTAAACGAGAGCTTGTTTGGAAACATGAGAACCAAAACAGCGTAAGGGAAAAATATCTTTAATAGACATGAGAACAGTATTTCCTTTTCTGTAAACTAGGATTTTCACATAGTATACCTTGGCTGAAGGATGTCCAGTGAGTTTAACCACATCATCCATTATATTGATCATTTTCTTAAAGGTCGGGTTATTATAATCAAAACGTCTCCCGAATAGCATACTGAAGGTTATATTGGGGGGAGCATTATAAAACGCCTGTTTCTCAAAAGGTTTACCTTAAGAACAAATGAACAATGACTGTTAAAGAGCAATACTCATTCTAAAATGTACAATTGTATACTTTAAAGCTGAAGCTTAATATACTTATATTTTGCCTTCTCTGGTTCCTCTCCCCGCTCATCTATATACTACTGACATCTTTAAATAAAACCTTTCTGCATTCATACATACCTTATTTAAGAACCAGTAATGCCATTACTGGGCTTCGGAGCTTCTCTATATATTGGGAGCAGATCATGGCAGGTGGGGGAGGTTGGCAGGATGCTATATATAGCTTCCTGAAAAGATCACCTCACTGTGCCTCAGTACTCCCCTTTAGCGCCTTATCCCTGAATGTTGCATTTGTACAGGGTGCCCAATATAACTCCCACATGTGATGCTGAGCCATTAAAGCGGACCTTTACCCCCTTTGACTAATCACATCAACATGCAGCTCTGCATACTGATATGAAATCATCTTTTATTCATTAGTTAAACAAACATATTTTTACTGTACTTACAATTTCTTTTTTTCTATTTCCTAGTCCACTTGGGCACAAATGATGTAATCGTGCCCAAGCATTGCATCCTGAGAAGGTTAGATCAGCAGAGCATTGCTGGGAAATCTCATCTGAGATGATGGGCAATGGTCACATGTCCTAGTCACGTGTGCCAGAATTCCAGGAAGTAAAGGGAGATGGATTAATCTGCCCTTAGTAAAAATGGCCACTATGAGAAGAATGGGGAGGAAAATAAAAATAAGGTATGCAAAGAATAAAAAGTCTGCAATGATCTATAAGCATGTGTTTGTAGATTGTCATTACTAAACATTTCTAAAGGTGTCTTTGTTGTTATTTTGAAAATTTGGGTACAGTTCCTCTTTAAGATTGAAAGAACTGAATTCCAGTGAATAAAGGGGAGGGGCCATGGACAGTAAGGCTGATGAGGAAAAGGCTAGATGATGGTAGACATCTTCCAGCAAAGAAATGAGATGGGCTCTATCCAGAGTGGGGGGGTTGGGAGCTTGTTTTGTGGTTACTTATTGGTCTGTTACCCGCAGCAGGGTTGGTTGGGGTAAGTGATGGGGTCTAGTGGAATGTGATTTTGGTGGAGGGTGTTTAGGGTGTGTGATGGGGGGAATGCTGCAGCATTGCTAAATGTGCCACTGTTGGGCTCAGTGGGTGATAGCGGCAGGGGGTACACTGGTCAGTGGGAGACAAAAACGGTGGAGCGGGCAACCACCTAATTAGAGAGACACCTCAGCTGCTTCCCGTCTGACTCGCCAACATTGCTGAGTGCTAAGGGAGTGCTTAGCACCAGGCCCATGATGCTCTTAATCCGGCCCTGGGCGCAGCCTCAATCAGTGGCTTCCTCACAGCTTTGAATGATGATCGCTGGAGACAAAGCCATCTCCTGCAAACTTCAGCCAATCCGTAATGGGGAGGGGGGTGCAAGTAGCTGGTCTTGCTTAGGACACAAAATAGTTTAGCACCGACCCTGGCTCTATTTGATTTGCTTTAGCTTCCAATGTACCGTATATACTCGAGTATAAGCCGTCCCGAATATAAGCCGAGGTACCTAATTTTAGCAAAAAAAACTGGGAAAAAGTATTGACCCGAATATAAACATGAATGCAGAGGACACTTGAAGACAAAAATAATTTAGGCCCCTTCATCATTTAGATTTTCCCAGTGGAAGTCTTAAAAAGGTATTGCATTTCTTCATGGCAACCAGTCTTATACAGGGTGCAGGATTCAGAGAGCAATATGGGTTTTCTAAAGAGAGGACACAGCAATGACGGTTGCCTTTCAGACAAATATTCACTTCAATTATCCAATCATGTGTAGCCCCCCACCACCTTATGTTGAATGGCTACTAGAAATTTAGGGGTCTATTCACTAAGCTGCCGCAGGCAGCCGAGTGACTAACCGACCCCAAGCGAAGTGAGCTGAACACTGTTCGGCTATTCACTTCAGGCTGGTACAGCTGAATCCAGCATTATATATCGGCTGAACTCAGAAAAAAAAAAAGAAAAAGAACACACCATAAGAATGCATAGCTAAATTGCTATTGGCTATTTCACGTTTGCAATAGCAAACTAGCTATTGCACCCGTCATTTGCTCCTGTCAATCACCAGACAGGGACCTGATGGAGAACTGCAGGTCCCCCTCTGCTGATTGACAGCAGCAGTGGGCGGGTGCAATAGCTAGTTTGCTATTGGCTATTGCAAAGTGAAATAGCCAATAGGAATCTAGCTATGCATTCCTATGGCTCCGATGTCAGAAGAAAAAAAAAAAGAAAAAAATCGAGCAGGGAAAGGTTTACTTTGCTCGATCAAGCAGAGTGAACCTTTCAGGGAGAAAGTGTTTCTCTCCCGGGCGGCCGGGAGCCTATTAGACTCCCAGAGCGTCCGGGGGAGGAATGACAGATGGCGTTCCTGGTTGCCAGGTAACCAGAAACAACATCTGTCACTACACACTGAGAACACAGAGAGGCCGCTCTCAGTGTGTAATGACAGCATCCCTGGTTAGCTGGTAACGAGAGATGACGGCTGGCTCCGCCCAGCTGTCAGAAGCAGGCTGTCGGCCGGCCAGCTTCGGCTTTCAGCGCGGCTTAGTCGGAGAGCGAGGCATATGCCTTCGCCTCGACTGAGCCGCTCGGCATACCTCGGGAGCTGCCGAAGGATCTAGCCGTAGCTTCGGGTGATCCTTCGGCTAGCTTCAGCCCCAGGAACCCTTCGGTTCAGTAGAACCGAAGGGGTCCTGGGGCCGAAGCTAGCCAAAGGATCACCCAAAGCTACAGCTAGATCCTTCGGGAGCTAAGTGAATAGACCCCTTAGTGTTCCCAGAGCTGTAGTCAGTCTGGCTGAATTATAGTTGGCATTTATCTAGTTAATTTTTAGGTGATTGTACTTGCCTGAGTGGGGTGTGACCCTGCTGCAGTGTGGGACAGCCAATGGAAAACATTATAAGTGTATGTGTCTCACCAATCGCTGGCAGTTTCATGGCCAGTAGTGAATGCTGGGACAGTGCATACAGTCATGGCCAAAAATATAGGCACCCCTGCATTTTTGTCAGATAAATGCACCACCTCCCGCAGAAAATTGTTGCAATTACAAATATTTTGGCATTCTCATGTTTATTTCTTTTCTTTGTATTGGTATGATACAAAAAAGTGGTGAGGAAAAACAGCCAAATCTTACACATTCTATGCAGTATCGCTGTGTAAAGACGACAGTGAAAAAATACTTTCCTTTTTTACTTTGCCCCTGTACACAGTCAATTTACTGGCAAATTATCATTCATAGTTGCATAAAATGTAAAAAGGTTTAAGGGTCTATTCTTACTACCACACCTTCTACATATTTTGGAACTGAATAATAATTCTGTAGGCAACTGAAGATCCAAATAGAAGACAAATCAGTGTGGGGAACTTAATAATAAGAAGAACTTGGAAGACTATTGTCAGTGTCTGATTTTAAACACCAATCTTTAAACTGGGATTTGTGAATTATTACTAAATTCTCTACATGACTCACCATTATAAGACGATATCAGTGCATTTAAGAACTGCAGTTCATCAATAATCCTGCCTTCAATTGGTCTTTTTCCCATCCCAAGATCTCGTAGAATGGACAGAGTAAATCTTCGAGTCACTTTCCATCCTTCCCCATTTGAGAAAATTACTCCTAAGGGAGATATTTAAGACGTTATATCAATAGAATGCAGAAAAATGTCTGGTGCATATATATTTATATATACAGTATACTGTTTATGACTCACACTAGAGTCATATGAGTCATATGAGTGACTGTATATGAGTCACACTAGACTTGTCTAAAGAGTGTAGGGGGAAAAAAAAGCTGAATTCCAGGTAGATCTAAAAAACACAAATGATTGTCACTCTATATTTATGAATACATAATTAAACATTTTTTCTAATGAAAGCAGGGGAGAACAGAGTGACAGAGGGATGAGCACAGCAGTCCTCTGTATAAGTGTCCAGTCAAAGGCTGGGGGAAGTATAACACATAGCGGGTTATTCACAAAGCTGCCGAAGGCAGCCAAGTGAATAATCCAGCCGAAGTGAAGTGAGCCGAACGCTTTTCAGCTATTCACTTCAGTCTTGTATGGCTCATTTCAGCCGTACATCGGCTGCCTTCGGGCAGCTGAACATACTCTGCATGTTCGGCTGAGCCGAAGTGCAGTAGGAGTTCGACTTAGCCGATCCAACATCTGGATCGGCTGAGCCAAAGCTCCGGCAGCTTTTTCGCTGCCGTTCACCCCTATTCTCATAGTGACTGAGCGGCAGTGAGTGAATAGCCAAATGCTGCCTTGCGGCATTCGGCTCAGCTATTTTGCTTGGTACCCCCGAGGTGCCAAGCAGAATAGAAAATAAGTGAAAAGAAAAAAAAAAGTTGAAAAATAATTTAAAAAATGTAAAAAATTAGATTTTTTAACCAGTTGACATCCGCGGTGTTAAACCCCCTTCCCATCCAGGCCATTTTTCAGTATTCAGCGCTACGGTACTTTAACTGACATAAGCAAAGAAAAAAAAAAATGTAAAAAAAAAAATGCAGCACACCAACTCGACCGTATGTGACGGACTCCTGACCGCATAATGAAGCCTCTGACAGAGGCCCGAAAAATAATTGGGCGGAGCTAGCAGTGACAGCTCGCTCCGCCCAACTGTTTCCTATTGGCCGTCACCTGCCAGAGTCTTCTAGCAGGTCCTGGGGCAATTAATAACAACTGGGCGGAGCCGGCCGTGACGCCAGGGTCGGCTGTGCCCAGTTGTTATTGTTTAATGACAGATCAGCGTCCCCAAGTCATTTGGGGAACCTGATCTGTCATTATAACTGGGCAGAGTGAGCTGTGAGATCACGGCTGGCTCCACCCAGCTGTCAGATCACGGCTGGCTCTACCCAGCTGTCATTTGCGTAGAGATCAGTCGGCTTTGGCCGAACTCTCTCCACGCTTCGGCTGTCACTTTGGCTCAGTCGAAAAATGCCGCCCCCAAACTAGTTAGATAAGAGAAAAAAAAATATATTATAAATGACTGCCAGTACCCCTGGACCTGGTGCTTCTTTGACTTGGGGACCAACATGTCCACCGATGCCACCTACTCCTACATCTATGCCGGCTGCAGCTCCTTCCTCTACCTGGTCAACATGCTGTGCTATGTATTGGTGTGTGTGACTTTTGTCCGGATGTACTGGCAGTTCGTGCGCCGGATCTCCCTGGGAAACCAGCACCCAAATCTCTGACTTCAGGCAGGGGAGGAGCTTCCGCAGGACCCCGGGGCTGAGATCCAGATGTCATCGTGCTCATCGGCACCTCCGTGGTGGTGAGTCCGGGGAAGTGAAGCCTATAAGCTCCGTGCAGGGTGATGTCTCTAGAGCGGGGCAAGCTACAGAGCCCAGCGGCCGATGCAGAAGATTGGTAACTGCAGAATTAGAGGGCCCAGCATATGACGGCAGATGATCGGTGTTGCAGCTGCAGAACTAGAGACTAGCACAGCAGGGCCGGGCAGGAGAGAATGGTTATTGTAGCTGCAGAACTAGGGAGCCCATCAAGCCAGGAATGGAGAAGGTGGCTGTTGCAAAGGCAGAACTAGAGCGTCCCGCTATGTTGATAGTGCATCCTGTCAGAATCTAGATACACCGTGCGAACTGTATCCCGCGACTGACAGGTTATGCAAAATGTCTTAAACAGGAAGGGGAAAAGTTCAACTGAACCGAAGGGCAGAGATGGCTGAAGAGAGCCTGAAGGATAAGCCGAAGCTATGGCTGGATCCTTCAGCTCTTTAGTGAATAACCCCCATAGAACATCGCTAGAAATACAAACATTTGTCAGATAAAGCAGCTCCCATATATGTAGTACATTTGTATATAAAACTGTTTGCTGAGAAGTTCACTATTAAAGGTACATGCTACAGGTCTGCCATCATTGACTTTGCTGCATAAAAATAAATACATCACCAACCAAAAAGTCAGAAAGCCAGTGTGGTGAAACCTAACTGACTGAATGCTTGTTTCAGGTCATTTTCTATGTAACTAGGGAAGCAAAGATAAGGATGATGGATCTGAGTCTTTCAGCTTCAAAATCAAGTTGCCAATGACTCCAGGACGACAGCTCAAAAGCCACTACTTATAAAAACAAGTCAGATATAGAAACTGTCATATTTTTGAGCTTGCAGGTTGCAGTGTATGCCTGATCCATTCCATCTTGTAAAATCAATTTTGGATGTATTTGGCCGGCACTTATAGAGTTCACTAATTTACTGTACCATGGTTACGCTGAAAGTCGTCAAAAACAGCCATCTCTCCACGACTTCCAAAATCATAGTTTGCCTTGACCAAGGCCTCTTGATTGGCTTCATAACCAACCAAAACCACACTTTTTACGCTGCCGAAATGGAATGTGAAGAATGTGCCATACTTATTTGCCAGCTGGAAAATAGGTTTAATACAATATCCTTATTAGCGAGAGGATTGCAACTCAAAACAAAGTGCTATAGAGACCAAATAATAAAAACAAAAGCTAACAGTTAATGGTTTAACATGATTTAATATGATTTTGCGTTGAGTCATTCACCTGTAGGTTGCCTGATAGATGTGAGGGACCAAACACCCGCTTATAACCCCCTGGGGAGGAGCTTTGTGTAAGCTGTAAATTACTGCAGAGCACTTTCACTGGCTGTAGGCTATGCCAACATGATTTCATTGCCTTCATTTCTAAAATCTGAGTAAATGGTTTAAGTGAATGCCACCAATGGAAGTAGCACATTTAAATGGTTAGAATGCCATGGTTAGAATCCATTAATATGGTATAGGATGTTGGTTCATTGAAAGCTACTCTTACTTCACTGAGTGTTCCACTAATGACACAACAGGCTCAATTCAAAAAGCTTTAGAGTGACACTGAACTCAGGAGTTAAATCTTTAAAATACATTCAAGTACCTTAACTATTAACAACAATTTATCTTATTTGTGTATCACTCAGGTGTAGACCCTCAAATCATCTCTTAACCAGTTGACATCCGCGGTGTTAAACCCCCTTCCAAAGAATAGTATTACCTAAATATTTCAGCTATATCCCTAGATCTTGACATGCTATTGCCCTGTTGGGTAATGATCCTCGTGATCTAGAATTACTCATGTTGAGGCCTGAGGGCCCAAGCAAGGATTATGATACATATATTACCAGGTTAATAATATGTACATTTGCATTTTGTAATCAGGGCTTCGCCTTGTACAGTCAAATCGACCAACTCAATTACATTTACTCAGCTTACAGTAGTATCATATATTAATTTTGTTATAAAGTTTTTTTAATGTAAAAAAACTGCAGTAAAAATAAGCTTACCGAAGAGGGCAGTATATAGCAACCCATAACAACAAATCATAATCATAAATAATTGCAATGAACTACAGTAAATGGAAATCTGGTTGCTATTGTTACTACATTTTGCACATCATCATTGCTATATGCACATTTTTATTACATACGTTTTTCGGTGCGTGGATTACCTAAAACAGATAATATATGATCAGGAGACATCTTATGCCATAAGTTAAACTGGCTAACAATTGTTGATGAGCAGGAGTAAGGACAGGTAAAAAATTACCAAACACTTCCGCTCAATGATTAACTATGCTGCTGCAAGAGAACCAAGCTCCATCCAAACAACACCACTCCCTGGGATACTCAGCTTTGCCAAAGCTCCGAAACAACAGGCTCCGTTATTATTTTGCTGAATTGGAGGTGCTATTATGCGATATAAATAATGAAATACACAATGGTAAGATCACAGTAAGGTCTTGGATACCTTTTGCATCAAACTTGATGAGCTTGATACCCCGGGCAAGATACTCCTGGAACATGTCTTTTTATTTGAAGCTAAATATATACCAATGTTTAGGGCATACAGATTAATATAAAATGCCTCATAACTGGCTGACAATAGTTAAAAGAATGGTTAGAAAGGGAAAACAAATGCAATTATTTAGGACATAAATATTGAAATGCCACAGGAAATCTAAAATATAATGCATCTTAGGGTAATCCACAGCAAACACCACTCAAATTCCAGAACTGGCTTGCACTGTGATTGCATTCCAGGTGCAGGCAAACAAGTGTGCCGCCACCTATAGCAACCAAATCCAGAAATAGGCGCATTCCAAGGGTCCTCACAGAAGACAAAACTCTCTATCCATAAAGCAAATACATACTGTTAGCTCCACCCCAAGCGTGCCCAACCTCCAATGCATTTCACCATTCAGTCTCAGAGTAAGCCAGAATGGTGAAACACATTAGCGGTTAGGCGGAGGAGCTAATAGTATGTATTTGCTCCATGGATAGAGATTTTTTCTTTGGTGAGGACCCTTGGAGTGCGGCTATTTCTGGATTTTATGATTGATCTTGACATTAAGAAGCTATTGATACCCAATGCAGTTGTTTAAAAATAAATAAATAAATAACAAAGCAACTTCCTGATCCAGTCAAATTTCATCTTTCAGTTAAACCAAGAAACCTTCTATTTTAATTGTTCCTGATATAATTAAACAGACTTTAGGTGTTCCCACTCCTCTCCTGTTGCATTCTCCTTAATTAAAAAAAAATAAGTAAAATTGCCAACAGAGAATGTGGGACCTCTTAATAAAGGCTACGCTTTAGTTTCACATCTGGGAACTTGAGTTGCGTAGAGATATACAAAACCCTTCAACTCTTACTTTTCTACATCTCCCAAAAACTTAAATATGACCCTTCAAACTTTTTAAAGACTCACCTCCATAAAAGTGTTATCCTGCCTGACAATATCCAGAATGTGCATGTTCCCAATTATCGGTAGAGGTCTGGGTCCTGGGGGGAAGTTGTAATTCTTCTTCTTAGCCAGGTCCATTAGGATTTTCACACACATCATAACCAGGGTGCATATTAGGAAAAGCGTCGCTGACTCTGGTAGAATTGCCATGGCTGGAGTCTTCACCGGTGGTCTGTCCAAGCTGGAACTTCAGAGATGTAACAAACCTTGTATATATACTCTGTCTGTCCTGTTTCTAGAACCCAACTCCACCCAATCCAAAAACGTTTTTTGCACTGCAAAATTTTATTTTGATGAGTTGTGCAAATATGATTGTGCTGATTAAACAGAAGTGAAGAAATAATAAGCCTTGATTGGCAAACATACAAATGACATTTAAAGAGACAAAATTTGTCTTTGTTTAGTTTGCAGTGAATGGATTATTACAATGATTAGATGGTTGCAAGTAATGATTTCTATAGAGATTTGTTTACTGACCTTTGTCCATTTTTCAAAGTACAAGCAAAATCATATTTCTTAGTTGCCTATGAATTTTCTATACAGCACCAGGTTTTAAAGGATTGTCCCTAGAAATGCTTTTGGAAATGCCACAGCAATGTAGGTTCAATGTATTTTTTTGAGAATTTTGAGCTTTATTTTCTGTCACATATCCTTTAAAATTATAAATAAACTCCAACTGAATAAACTGATCATAGGCTTTAGTGTTCTAAGCCCAAACTTGCTATTTGCAAGTTATTGTTGCTCTTTGCAATTCCTTTTGCAATTATAATAAGGATGTATCTGTTTTGCATCGCTGTGTTTATGAGTTAAAAGAGAACTATGGGGTAAGTGATTTTCCCCATAGTTCTCTTAAGGGTCATAGGAGGACACATACTGACCTCCTCCCGTGACCCAAAGCTCAGCCCGTGATATACTGAGAGCGCCCCAGCCGGGACGGATCCCGACAATATTTTTGAGATCCGCCCAACTGTGTGAGTGACAGCTGGCTTTGCCTATCTAGGGCAGAGCCAACTGTGCTCGCCCCCTCCCACGTTCGTTCCTCCACCCAGCGCTGGAGGATCGGAGAGGGGAGGAGAGAATCCCTGTGGGGAGCGGTGACTGACACTCACAGCTCACTGCAGGGAGACGATCGGGAAGTGAGCGGACCAGTGCATGTTTCTGCTCACTTCCTGCTCAACAGAGCCAACCTGTGACAGCTTCTTTGTCACAGGTCGGCTCTAACTATGAGGATGAGTGGAAATCACTCACCTCATGGTTCTCCTTTAAGTCTATTTGTTTCTGTCATTGACTCTGTTTTCTCTCGCTTCCTGTTCCTGTGATTTCTGTACCAAAAATGTAGGGTAATGTCACTGGAACAGCAAATACATCAATAAAAGGCATTACTAGAAGTCTGAAATCTTTCTCACTTTACTGAAAATGTGTTTTTGTTCATGACCCTGGTGGAGAGATTTCCCATCATGTCTTCTGGCAAATAAAGTAAATATTAAAAAAATATATACTCCTGCTTACCATATTCAATATTAAATATATTGTTTAAAGAATTTCAGAGCCAAAAAATGTTTTGCTTTCCAGTGCAGCATCGGTTTAACCATTGTAAATGTCTTTATTCTTAAGGTGTAATTTTTTTAACATTGGTTTTCTCAAGACTAATAGAGCTTTCCATCAGCAGTAAAATTATATATTTATATTTTTACTATCATGGTTTTTTTTATTTAAAATGAAGCAAAACAGTGAAAAAATACAAATATTGTCCAAATTTCAAATAAGAAAAACAAATGCATCAAAGAAATATAACTGCCTGATAATTAATCAGCAATTTCCCCTCTTGTCGAAAATATGAAATATAAGTACCAGGTACAATTTTATGCAACCTAAAATCCAAACCAATGTAAGTACATTAGTAAAATTGATCTAGCAGTTCTGGGCATGCCAAATAATAGAAAAATTAATTCACCACCCAAAACATCTCCCTAAATATTGTATTTCTGCTTTCCCCAAAATTAAGATGGCTGTAGCCTTCTAGTGAATTATGTTTTTAGAAGAGCTAAAATGGACTGTCCGGAAACCACTTTTACATGGAAGGTATTAATTTACTTTTTGGTTAATGATTTTTTTTTTTTTATTTGTTACCTCAGGAACTTGTATCTGCAGAATAAGCTTCGTTCACTTTTTGTTATTTGCTTAGAAGGGATACAGACAAAAATAGATAAAAGTATTAAAGTAGTATTAAACTCTCAAACTTTTTCAATAATGAATCCAGATCTCACAAATATACATTGCCCAGCAAAGCATTGCTTTATATTTTTTCCCAAACACTTACAATCATGTTTCTGAACAGCTGCTTCAAAGTCTCTTAGCTCAGCCTTGCTGAACTTCCTGTCCAGTATAGGATCACAAAAGATAGTGCAGACTCCAGCAACTGTTCATCAACTAGCTTGGAGAAGGAAGGAGGGAGGATAGGGGGCCAGGGGGGAAGGAAGTAGCTTGATTT